TCATAGGAGCAGGAAGGCTGACATTTCGGGCCTAGACCCTTCATCAGAAAATTTTCTGATGAAGGGTCTAGGCCTGAAACTTCAGCCTTCCTGCTCCTATGATGCCGCTTGGCCTGCTGTATTCATCCAGCTCTACACCTTGTTAACAATGAGCCAGAGTTTGATCTTGGAGACGGGTAACAGGAGTTGAGAAATTTCCTGACTCAGCACACCCATTTAGGAGTCCAGCTAACAAACCCCCAAAGAAAGAATTCGGAGGGAGCCACAGGGTCTGCCTGCTACCAAGGTAGACTCAACCTCTACCAGTTAAAGGATGAACAAAGAAGTGAAACAAGACTGAGTCCTAATCCCATCTTTGTTTGGTATTTTCTATTCCATACTCCTAACCTTCGCCTTCCACGTAGATATGGAAGGGATTTGCCTACATCTCAGTACCCCTTCAACAGATGAATTTTGGTAAGAACTGAAGCAATGCTAACCTGGTCAATACAGTCTTCTGACTGAGGAATTGGGTAAGAATCAGTTTTCATTATGGCATTTACATTTCTGTTGGCCATGCAAAAATGTAATTATTCCATCTGGTTTAGGAACTAATGCCACTGGTGAAACTCCAGATGCTTTGTCTAGGTTAAATCAAGCAATTCTCCAGCATGTATTGAATTTGTGCTTCTGCTTGAATTTGTTCTCTGGGCTAACCTGTTAAGGATGTTGTTTTATTGACACCGAATTTCCTACATTAATATCATGTCTTGTTAACATAGAACATAGAGTATCAGGGACCCGGGTTTGATTCCAGCCTCGGGTCTGTGGGGGGTTTGCACAGTCTCCCCGTGACAGCATTGGTTTCCACTGGATGTTCTGATTTCCTCCCACATTCCAAAGATGTGCAGGTTAGGTGGATTAGCGATATAAAATTGCCCATAGTGTACAGGGATGTGCAGGCTAGGGGGAATTAGCCATGGAAAATGGAGAGTATTGGGGATAGGATGGGCAAGTGGGTCTGAGTGGATGGTCTTCAGAGGATCAGTGCAGACGCAATGGGCTGAATGGCCTCTAACTGCACATTAGGCATTCTGTCTTTACAGAAGGAGTTTCATTATAAGTGCTAAGTAAATGTATTAGCTCTTCCTACTCCATTGCTCTAAAACATAAGAAAAGTGTCAACCTGCCCCAGTATTTCCATATGAAATTGTTGAATAGGAGGAGGTTTGCTTTGTAAACTGTCTACTCTTTCTTCAACTGCACTTTTACTTTCACCAGCTGACACACTATCTCCTTCTTATCCTTTTACCTGTGCTGGCATTGCTTCAATGTATTTGTATGATCAAACTGACTCATTTTCCTCTGCTCAGCAGTATCTATCAGATAAATAAGTCACTTTACTAACCCTCCAAAAATGTCATGTATGGACCACTATATTTCATGTACAGAAGTCCATCCTGCAAAGTCTATAATATCAATACTTCATCTCCTGCATGAAATGTTCTGGTTGCTGCATGTTTGTTTACCCATTCTTTCAATTTTGCTTGTAAAATTTTTAAATGTTCTTGAGTTACCTTACTTGCTCCTGAGAGTCTCTCAAAATTTGGACATGAAATCCAACTCGGAGGATGTGTCTTTCTGCTTTTTTTTTTAAATCACTGTTGAAGGACCTCTTATCTCATGGCCACAGGTCAATTTGAAGGGACTTAATCTAATTTGAGGAAACTCTGTCACATATAATAAAAAAAACTAACCCTTTATCCCAATCCAGTGGGTATTCATGAACAATATGTTTTAAGAATAGTTTGGGGAGTCTGATGTTAACTCTCCAAAGCTCCCTGTATTTGCAGATGATTTGAGGTTGACGTCAACTGTTTGATACCCAAACTTCTGATTAAGCTTTAGAAAACTTCGGGCATAACAGTTAGAAGCAGGTTAGGTTGTATTTCAACTCATAGACCAAAGCAAACAAAGAGTTACAACGACCTTAGCTGCAATTGTCTTTAAAAAGGAGTAGTTTCTGGAAATTGGGCTGCCTGCCAAATCCATTACTGAAAGGATATACTGAAGTCTTACTTTCATTTTGGGTAATGGACCTAAACAATCTACTAGCACTGGACTGAATGTTTCTTAAAAATCTGGTCTAGGTATTAAAAGGTGTTGGTTTGATTACATGTTGAGGTTTACCTACCACCTGACATGTATGACAAGTTTTACAGAATTGCAGAGCATCCTAATGAAGCCTTGGCCAGGTAAAATGCCTATTTATCAATGCTCGAGTTTCTGCATTCCTACACGCCTGCCATGCTTCTCTCAATATCTCCTTACAGTATCTGGGCAGTAGGATGTTTTAATGAATAAACATCTTTTCCTCGACTGCAGGCCTTTGAGGGTGCCTCCACTTCCTTGTCAGAACCCCATTCTTAATGTAACAGCAATCTGGAACGCTTTCCTCTTTAGCTTCAGCGTGAGCTGCCTGTGCTAACTTGTTTAACTAGAAACCTGCATTCTGAACCTGAATGAACGACGGCATGCAAAATACTTCTCTTCAATTAACCTTGCTATTAAGGAGTGCTTTGGCTACTCTGACATCTGCTTGTGGTATTATTTTGACCTCGAGTAAAGAACTCTGTCTCGCCATTGCTCTGGTCACCACTCACAGTTGTGAGCTTTCTTTAATTATGGATGAACACAAAACTCCTCTAACAATCACGAGGCGGCGCCGATACAGTCATCAATGTAACGGAGGAAGAGGTGGGGTTTAGGGCCGGTGTAGGTGCGGAAGAGGGATTGTTCCACGTAACCAACAAAGAGGCAGGTGTAGCTTGGGCCCATGCGGGTACCCATGGCCACCCCCTTTGTCTGTAGGAAGTGGGAGGAATTGAAAGAGAAATCTTTGTAGGTTACGTGGAACAATCCCTCTTCCGTACCTACACCGGCCCTAAACCCCACCTCTTCCTCCATTACATTGATGACTGTATCGGCGCCGCCTCGTGCTCCCACGAGGAGCTCGAACAGTTCATCCACTTCACTAACACCTTCCACCCCAACCTTAAGTTTACCTGGACCATCTCTAACACCTCTCTCCCCTTCCTGGACCTCTCTGTCTCCATATCGGGCAACCACCTAGAAACCGATATTCATTTCAAGCCCACCGACTCCCACAGCTACCTAGAATACTCCTCCTCCCACCCACCTTCCTGCAAAAATGCTATCCCCTATTCCCAATTCCTTCGCCTCCGCCGCATCTGCTCCCAGGATGAGGCATTCCACTCCCGTACATCTCAGTTGTCCTCGTTTTTCAAGGACCGTAACTTCCCCTCCTCGGTGGTCGAGAACGCCCTCAACC